ATATATATATATATATATATATATATATATATATATATATATATATATATATATAACTTATAAATATTATGTAATTATTAATACTAATTTGGCATTTTAGGTTTGTTTCCTTTTGTGCCCTTTAGCACTTAGTAAGTTAGGATTAGGTTGTCATTTTTGTTTTTCCAATTTCCGCTACACCTTGTGCCTTCTCTTTCAAAATTCCAATTCCATGTTTATGCCTCCAGCGATAGCCGACCAGGGCAACAATTAGCGACCACGACCAGTGATTTTAAAATTGAATTTAATAAACTGAATCGAATCACAAATATTAAATTGAATTAAAAAAATTGAACCGAATTAGTTTGATTTGGTGTTAAGTTCAACAGTTCCAAAAATTGAAATAAAAAACCAAATGAACGCCCAGCCCTAATTTTTTGTGCACAAAGTCGATTAAGTAACTGCGCAATTGTTTTTGCACTATTGGTGCACACTAGTTATAATTAGAAAAAATTATATATAATAGCAAACTAATAACCTAAAATAAATGGAGTAGGTAGGGTTTGATCTAATTGTGCTCCATAGCCCAGTTTCTTTTGTCTTTCTCTCTTTCTCGTTTTGTACAATTTTCAAATTGTATCTAATTTCTCTCTTTCTCGTTTTATTCAATTCGATTCAATTGTATATTCGTTGTCAAGTCTCTTTTGTCTTTCTCTCTTTCTCATTTTATACAAATTCAAATTGTATATAATCATTCTATACACTTATAATAATACAATTTGTTTTATACAGTTCTCTGCCCAAGTGTCTTTCTCTTTCTTGTTTTATACACTTTGTTTTATACAATTTGCTTTAACTGTATATGTATAACGAATTATATAGTTTCTATGTTTGCTATGGAGCGTAATTATGCAAACTTTGCTATAACATACAAATATGAATTTTTTATTTACTATATTGTCCTTATAATTAAGCAATCAGTTTTAAGTAAAAACATAGTTTTTATTTTTTACACAATTGGTGCACACAAGTTAATTTAGCACAATTTTAAGTAATTACACAAGTTTTTTTTTTTGACTATGTTGATATATAAAACTAATTAACGCACTGATTTTAAGTAGTTGAACAATTTTATTTCATAATATTGGTGCACAAATGTTAATTAAGCACCATTTTAAAGTGACTACACAATTCTTTTTGACACTATTGTTGCACAGTAATTAATTAAGCAGTTCTTTTAATTAGTTAAATACCCAAAAAAAATTCACATTGATACATAGAAATTTTTTGAACACCGCATTTGTATAACTACATAATTTTTGACATTGTTGATGCACTAACGTCAATTAAGCTTTTTCTAAAAAATAGCTACACAATTCTTTTGGCCTGAAATCTAAGATAAAAGAACTTTTACATCATACATTACATGCAGAAAAGAGAAAAATAAAATTGGTAGAAAAATAATAACCTGATCGAATTTCCCAGAGACTTAAAAACGAAAATAAAAACATATAATACATTAATCCACGAGCTGGGGAATCTTATCTATTTTTTCTTATTATAGCGAAGGCACTCTTCATAAGTGTAAGGTGACCAAATCCACTCCATAAGTTCAAAGTCCCAATTAGCTTTTGTAGCTAATAATGATCCCTCATCTGGAGGAGGAATTTCCATCAATTTTTCTAATTCCATTAATGATGAAACAGTTGAAGACAACACCACAGGAGGATTAATAATTTCCTTCTCATAAGGAGTAAATTCCATCACCTTTTCTTCATCTTCTGGTAAAAAATCAGAAAACATGGCATTAAAATCTATGCCAGCACTTTCATAATTAGTTTCACCTAATTTCTCCAAATCTAAGATTAACCCCATATCTTCATAATCTTTTACATCTAAAGGACGAATTTCACCTACACTTTTTTCTGATCTTTTCTCTATTTCCTCATCAAGATTTATAATTTCTACTTGCACCTCCTTAGTACCACCTTCTTTACGAAGAGACCCCATAACAATAGAAAGAAGAGAAGAAAAATTGGAGAAACCACAATAAAAGAAGAAAAGAGAAGATTATTTTGTGCTTTGATGGAGTGATAAAGTGAGTGATATATAGTGAGGGAAGGAAGTATTTCTGGATTATACGCTAGCATGCAAGGTGGTTTCTTCTCCCACTGTGTTAAAAATGTGATTATATGGAACCATGTATTGTGTATTAAATTTAATTGGAAGTTTAGATAATTAAATTTACAATATTAGTATATATAATTTAATTCTTAAATATATTAGATAATTTGATAATTTTTGAAGAAAAATATTTTTTTCCTCAAACAAGGATAAAAGTGCCATTAATTGGTTGTTAGGAAGAAAACAAGTCTGTAGGATTGTATTTTGTAATGCAAAAAATAAGAAACAACTAAGAAATATCCAAAAAAAATCGTCCACATTTTTCGCACTTGGATAAACTTTACAATGTGAAAGTTTGAATTTTAGTTTTGGTGTTTTGCTAGTTAGAGTTAAGTTGCCCACATGTATAAACATGTGGCATTAATGAAGGTAGAAGAATCATTAAAGTATGTTCTAATTTTGTTTTATACTAAACATTTAATGTAGAGATAATTACAGGTAGTTAGTTAGTTTCTATTTTAAAAGATAAATTCTTCTTTTAGTGGGAGGAGATTTTATTATAAATTTATAATTTTATCTTCTTTTAGTGGGAGGAGATTTTATTATAAATTTATAATGTGCAATGTCAGTGTTAATGTGCAGTATTAGTGTTAATGTGCAATATCCGTGTTATAATGTAGAATTATTTATGTGTGTTGTAAATTATTCATTTCCTCAATGTTAATTTCTACTTGCACCACCTTAGCACTGTACTCGTTATGAAGAGACCCATAACAATATAGAGAAGAGATGCAACTTTAGTGTTTTTGGATTATATACAAGCATGCATGACTTAGCACAAGCAAGGTGGTTTTTTCTCCCACTGTATTAAAATGTGATTATAGTACTACTTCTAAACAATAACAAGAATGTAGATAATTAAATTTACAATTATTAGTATATATAATTTAAATCGTCAATATATTAGATAATTTAATAATGTTTTAAAGAAAGATATTTTTTTCCTCAAACAACAATAAAAAGGTCATTAATTAGTTGCAAAAAGAAAACAAGCCTATAGTATTGTATGTTGTAATGCCAAATAAGAAACGATAAAGAAATCTCCAAAATAAATCGACCACATTTTTTGCATTTGAATGAA